GAGTCAGCCACAGTTTGTTATGATCCACGCAGTCAAATGCCTTTGCATAATCAATGAAACACAGATAGACATTCCTCTGGTATTCTCTGCTTTCAGTCAAGATCCATCTAACATTCATATATTGGAATACTACATGGGAACAATGATTTCGTAAATCACTACCTACCTTGGGAGGGCCTGGAGAGCATTATGCTAAGTCAACTAACTCAGTTCTATAAGGACGAACACTGTATAAGACAATTTTGTAGAACATGTATAAGGATCCAAAGCGGGGGGGCAGGGAAGGAGGCCTCAGAGGGGTGAGGATGGGCAGGCGGTTAATTACAGGGTCACATAATTTGATGGATAGAGGGAAGGGTGAGTAAAGAAAATGGGAAAGATCCAGTGTGAAACACAATGTATACGAACTTTGTAAATAAACCAGTATAAAATAAAAATTTTATTCAAATTAAAAAAAGGAAATGGGGAAAAGATGCATTTTTAATTTTACTTTGAAGAAAAACTGAAATTATTTCATGAGGCTTTATGTGTTCTAATTGCCTTTCCAAATGGCTCGGAGTAAGCAAATGGATACATCTTACAGTTAAAACAAGTTCAAGTTGGGTGGGAGAGAGAGGCTTTTGCAGCAATGTTAGAATCCTGTCCCCACAGTCCAAGTCCAGTACAGAAACCATGGGTGGGCACAACCAGCCCGGCCTTGTTTTGTGTTTTCTATCTGAGAGATCATCTCTTGTGCATTTAAAATTTTTATATGACTGGTCCTAGATCATAGGCATCGCTGGCCCAGACATCAAAGTCGTCTTTGACGTGTTTGATAGTTGTTAGTAATAACATGTTTGTGTTTTAGAATTTGAGTAATAAAAGATTATGTGAGAGAATGCCGCCTCCTCACAGATGCTAAAGGGGCATCCTGCCAGGTCGGACCGGTTAAGGCAAAACACCATCCAGGGTCACCACAACGCTGGCCAGGGTCTCCTCTTGTGTTTCCAAGTTAATAACAAAGTTGTTCCATGAATTAATTTAAGAAGGAAAAAGAAACAAACAGAAAAATCAGATGCGCAGGATCAGATCTCCATTTTCTCTTAGGCATTTGGATCAGTCAAGGCCTGACAGTTGCGATCTGATTTATGAGGATGGTTCAGGGTGCAGGGTTATGGGGGAACCCTTGGAGGAGTTGTGCCGCTAACCCAAAGGCCTGAGCCTCAAATTCACTAGCTGCTCTGCAGGAGAACGTTGGGCCCTCAACCTCCAGTGCGATTTACAGCCTCGGAGAAAACCTCCTGGAGGGTCAGCCCTGAGTCCATACTGACTCGATAACAACAAGGTCAAGTTTGCCGGGCTTGAGGCTATAAATACACAAAGCAAAGACTATTGGAATGTTTTAGTGCTTTCTCTGAAATGACAATAATATTAATTTCCAATTTGAAAGAATAGATCCCTTTTTCTTTTGCAGAACTAACGGTGTTTTACTGATTATCAAAACAGTGTTTTTCTAAGATGCTTTTGTGAAGGGAAGGGAATGCAGGAGTCCAGAGGAGCAGGGATTAAGATTAAACCAAGGCTTTGGGATTCCTGGGGGCCCCTGTTCCAGGAACATTTGTTAGTCACTCACTCTTTTCCATTTTTCTTTGCCTTTACAATGCAGAAGTGGTTGCCTGGCTTTATTTGTGTTTAGCAACTTGCTCTTTCTTCACTCCGAGTACAAAGGAGGTGTCTTTGTGAAGCTGCAGTTTTCCATGGAAATGAAATGTGCGTTGTTAGTGTTGAGGTGGCCTGGAGAGAGGAAGGAGACAGTCTGGGATCTTGCCTCTTCATCTTAATGCTATAAACACAATCGTGGGCTTTTAAAACGGATTTGAGTGATGATGTTAACAATCAAAGACAAAAATGTGCCCAGTGGAGTTTTATCCGACTGGAGGAGGGTGTGGAATTAGAAACCTCTGTCTCTCTCGGGGGAAGAGGAAGAGGAAACACATCCATTTTTTCGCACGGCCTGAGAGGACTGTCAGAAATCCTCCGCAGTTACTGGCTAACCAGTGCTCTCCACCTGGAGTTTTGTCTTGTGGGGTTTATCTGTCTTTCTCAACCTACAATTAACTCTCATCTGCTAAAAATCCAGCCGTTAATAGTCATATCCTTTCAAAGCTTTTTAAGAAATTTCTTCTCCAGTGTTCTTAATGTTCTTTTTTATTCCTGACTGTTGTTTCATTGAGGGATAGCTACAAAATCAGATGCCAGGACTGCAAATTGCCCCTCATTCCTGCCTATCTAACTGTTGAGTATCCACGACACACTCCTATGTTGTTATTGTTGTTTGTGTCATCCAGTTGGAATTAACCCATAGCTGAACCTCCGGTGGGTTTTCGTAGGCTATAAATTGCAAGAGAGGAGAGTGCCCATCTTTCTCCTTAGGAGCTGCTGGTAGATTCGAACCACTTACCTTTGGGTTGGCAGCACAACTCCTTACCCTCTAGACTACTAGAACACAGTCATTTTAATGAATTAGAATTTAAAGCAAAAGTAACTACGTGTGGCTCCTGTATGAGTCAGTACAGAGGACTGGACAGACAGACATTAAAGCATCGAGTCAGACTATAGTAACAGCAGCTGATAACGTGGAGATATCTCAGGCTCGGTTCCAGACCACTACAATAAAGTAAACTTTATAGTAAAATATGCCAGATATTGCAATCACTACGTAACTTTGGAGAGCATTACGCTGAGTGAACTAACTCAGTCCCATAAGGACAAATACTGTTAAAAGGCCGTTATTTTAGAATATGTATGAGGATCCAAGGTGTAGCGGGGAGAGCAGAGGGGTGAGGATGGGGGTGTTAATTATAGGGTCGCACAATTTGATGGGTGGAGGGGAGGGGTGGGTAAAGGAAATAGCAACGATCTGGTATGAAAAACAATGTGTATGAACTTTGTAAGCAAGCCAGTGTAAATAAGAAAATTTAAAAAATGCCATATATTTTTGTTTTCCCAGTGCACATGAAAGTTACGATTACCCTGTGTGTAGTCAAGTAAGTGTAAATAGCAGGATAAACAAGTTTAAACCATCGTGAGCATTGCTAGAATGGGACTCAGATGTCACATGAGCACACGCTCTGCGAACAATGGCAGACTTGCTCCGCGCAGGTGACTTGGGATAAGTAGCTGTGTTGCCAACCCAAAGGCAGGCAGTTTGAATCCACCAGCTGCTCTGAGGGAGAAAGATGGGTAATCTCCTCTCATGCAGTGTACAGCCTCTGAAACCCTCCTGGAAGGTCAGCTGTGGCTCAGTTCCAGCTCAACGGAAATCAACAACAGCAACAACACAGAGGCTTGCCACAGACCTTCAGTTTGTGAAGAACACAGCGTCTGTAAAGCAAAACGCAACCAAAGGAGACCTGACTCTAGCGCTGTTGTTTTGTGTGTGTGTGTTTTCAGAGATGATAACAAATTCGTGGGAGGAGATTGCACGTCCCTTCTCCTGTGGAGCAGCTGGTGCATTTGAACAGAGGGCCTTCAGGACTGCAGTGCAGCTTCTTAACCCAAAAGAGCTGGTTTGGTGAGGGCGTGACACCTCAGAAGAAAGGTGTAGCTGGCTGCCAGTGGCCAGTGCACCAACCCCACGGGGCAGACTTCCTCTGACACACACAGGTCACTGCTAGTCGGCGTTTGACTCCACAGTGACTGATCGATTGATTGTTCTTGATGAAACGTGAGCGGGAACGCCTTCTACACTTTAAGCTGCTACAGAACAGACTGGTCCTTAGAAGCCAGGTTGACAAGACTTGGTCTCCATGCTCTGGGCGTGTGACCAGGAAAGGAAAGTCCCTAAAGAAGGCTATCATGTTTAGAGAACTAGAGGGTCTGTGTAAAGGAGGAAGACCCTTAACCGGATGCATTGACACAGTGAGGCAGCAGTGGGTTAAGGACAGCCGTGGCCATGAGGATGGCCCAGGACGGTGCGCTGTTCCTGTCAAACATGGCATCCCTGTGAGGTGGAGACGACCCGATCGATGACATCTCCTAACAACAACGCCAACAGCACAACAGATGCTCGGTGCTCATTTTGCATTTCCAACTTTAAAAACCTCTCGAAATTGTGGGCAGTGAGATGAGCAGACCTCACAGCTTGGGGTTCTTGGGCCGTTAATTTGTGGGAGAGTGCTCCAGAGAAGGGAGTGTAAGAGCTGTTATCAGGGGGCCGAGTTGACCCAGGAAGTGGTCTCAGCTGGGGTCGAGCCCCAGCCTGCTGCAGTGGTGACGTGAGAGGCGTAGGGATGGGGCATCTGGGGCATGGATTGCTCCACACAGAGCTGTCTGCACCTTGAACAACAGATGTGAACCCTCTCCTGTCCTGGGCCGTTCTCATCATCTCTGACACACCTGAGCCCACTGCTGCAGTCACCGTGGCAATCCATGTGGTTGAGGGTCTTCCTCTCTTCTGCTGGCCCTTCACCTCTCCAAGCAGCATGTCCCTTTCCAAGGATTAGGCCTCTAAAACCACAACTCAAAGACATTGGTTCTGAATCTTCCATCATCCTTATTCATTGTCCAGCTCTCAGACACATAGCAAGTGAATGAAATCAGGCACACCTTAGGCTTCAAACAGACATCATTGCTCCTTAGTACTTTGGAGAGTGTTGTTGTTGTTGTTATTATTATTATTATTATTATGTGTGTATACCATCAAATCGGATCTGACTGGTCCAGGAGGAGATTATCCCTCCTTCTCCAGTAGAGCATCTGGTGGAATCGAACCACGCACCTCTGGGATTGCAGTGCAGCTTCTTGCCACTAGGTCACCAGAGCTCACCTGGAGATTTTCTTTACAGCAAACTTTCCCAGTGTAATATATCTTTTGATTCCTTGACAGCTAGTACCAAGGGTGTTGCTTGTGGATCCAAGCAAGATGAAATAGTTGACAGTTTCAGTGTTTTCTCCACCCACCATCTATCAATATGATACTGCATATTTGCCCATGGGTGAGGAGTTTTTGTCTTCTTGATGTTGAGATGCAATCTACCCTCTTTAGTCAGCTACTATAGTGGGTGCCCTTGTGGGGAGTGGGGTCGGGTGAGGGGGCCCCCTGCTGGCAGAGGTGCTTCTTGGGAGAACTCAGTGCCTCTCAGGAGTTAATACCCTGTAAAGGGAGGTGGGAGTGAGTCACAGCTGCACCCGTGCCCGTGTTCTGAACCTGCAGGGTGTTGGTTACGCAGTAGTTTTGGAGAAGAGCTAACAGATCTGAGGGCGAAATCAGACGATGTATCCTGAGGACACAATTGCTTGGATCACGCAGCCCATTCTGATGATGATGGTTCTTCCTCAGCCTGGCCTGGAGTCTCTTTCCTGCAGCACCGGTGCTTTGCAAGCTTACCACATGCCCGGCCCTGGTTCTGCGTATTTGGAATCTTGCCCAGAAAGACGCTGTCATTTAATAGACTCTGTCCCTGTGCATTATATGTTTTTGGTGAATATCAAGAGACAGAAGACTTCCTGAGGATGTTTGACAGTCCCTTCTAGAGTAGCCCAGGACCCATCACTGAGGATAGCAGCCTCAGTTAAGATACTTGTCTGTGAGGCTCTTGACGGCCTAGATGTTGCACTGTCCGAGGGGACCGGTGTGCGTCTCTGTCTACTGAAGGTGGCATCTTGCTAGGGTCTCGGGCTTGCCTTGCTGTCTCTATTGCTGCCTGATTTAACCACGATGCACCAAGTGTGTGGAGTACCTTAATTTGTCCAAATAGTCACCTCCTTGAATGTTGAAGGTTGAAGGTTTGAGTCCACCCAAAAGTGCCTTGGAAGAAAGGCCTGGTGATCTCTTTCCAAAACACCAGTCACTGAAAACCGCAGAGCAGAGCTCTTCCCTAACCCGCCTGGGTCACCATGAGTTGCAATTAGCTCAGTGGACTCTGGTTTGTCTTTTGAGTTCTTGGGGAACTATCACATGCACTGATTTTATGCCTGCTACCCACTTATGCTCCAGGTTCATCCTGGAGAGGGTGAAACCGGGCTGCTCCTTGGGGGCAAGGATTCTGAGGTTTCATCTGACATATCTTGGACATGTTGTAAGCAGGGATCAGTCCTTAGAGAAGGATATCATGCTTGGGATGGTGGAGGGACAGCGCAAGAGAGGAAGACCCTCTATGTGGTGGATTAATTCAGTGACTGGGGTAATTGGGGTGGGTGTGTCAGAGACAGTGAGATTGGCACAGGACAGAGCAGGGTTTAGGGCTGTTGTACATAGGGTCGTTATGAGTCGCAAGCAACTCTATGGCACCTAACAACAACAACAACCACCACCACCACCTCATTGCCACCCTGGGAGGCCAGGCTGGTGGTAGGCACCTACCTCTCACTGCTGTGAAGACCCCCCTTCCCCATGCTCTTCCTGTAATGAAGGGACGGATCGCTTGGCTCTGTCACTTGTGATGGGTGTCAGGAGACACTTCTGGGGCTTCGGGGGCCCACAGAGCGCCTGTCAGCACCCTGGTCTTGGCTCTGTGACTTCCCTGTTTTTAATCTAGAGGAAAACCAACCCCATTCTGGCATCCCCAAAGGAAAGAGAGTTTGCATGGGAGTCTGGTTACCCCAGCATCATTTGTCTTTGTTTGGAATATTAATATACTCCGGGGAGTTGAGTTTTAGATCATACTGTCCTGGGGGAGGAACAGGGGAAAACTCATCTGTTTATAGCTACAAGAACATTATGTGACTCTGTCTTGCCCAGATGAGATGCTTGCTGGCTTAAAAAACAGGGCAGATGTGGCTGAGACTGTGACCCTCTGAGAAACTTGTTGGGTTTTCCTTTATTCCATCGCTGCAAATGACACCCCTAAACTGTCCAGAAAGATTCAGGATCTCTGGAAGGATCACTTTAATTTTTACCAACTAGCTGTGTGGCTTTGGGTTTGTCACTTACCCTCTCTGGGCCATGGGCATACCTGACAGTTGAGGGGGCTGGGCCCTTAAAATTCTGTCATTTTCACCTTCATGGACTTTACGTCCACATACATCTCCTCTGGAGACAGACCTGTGGCACTATTTTGTTTACAAAAGATACATAGTTCAGTGTAAACAATTCATGTGAACTTTCACCAGCAAATCCAATGGATCAGTTTAATAGCCATTTCTGTTTATGGGAAGTCCTTCCTCTGCTCAATGTCTAAACCTCTGATGAACAACGCAATGGAGACATGTAGGTAATTTATGTCTTCCTGGGGAGCCTGTCCAGTTTACTTAAGTGATCTTATTTATTGGCACAAAATTATTCATAAAATTCCCTTGTTAATATTTTACATCTGAAACCAAATAGAAGCTATCAATAGTATTTTTTTTATTAATTTTAATGAAAGTTTACAGAGACTTTGGATAGTATTTTTTTAAAATTATTTCTTCCCAGAATTCATTTACTTGCTTATTATTTAAGTTCTGCATGGTGGTAGTTTTATTACAAAGTCAACAGTCTTTAAAAAGGCCTTTGCCTCCTGTGTCCTGCATGGTAGCGGATAGTGGGGGTGTCTGCCTGACCCTCAGGTGTGCATCTAGTCAATGAGGGGTGGGGGTCTTGAGAGCAAAGCTCTTAACAGGTGGTCCCAGCTTTCATCACCTAAGATCCCTCCAAATTAAAGTCTGAAGATGCAGAAATGGTGAGTCGTTATTGAGTGCCCTCGAGTTGATGCCAACCCAGCAGCCCCGCGTGACAGAGGAGAACTGTCCTGCGGAGTGTCCCTGGCTGGGATCTCTAGGGGCGGAGAGATCTCTCAGTCTCTTCTTCCTCAGAGCTGCTGGGGGGTTTGAACCTCTGATTTTACAGTTAGCAACCAGACACTTTCCTGTTGTACCAGCAGCAGTCAGTCTCTCTGGGGTTGAGAAAGTGGCGAAGCTCTCTTTGCTCTAATATTTTGTTCTCATAGAGTTTGAAGGAGATCGAAGGGCTGGTGACAGGGTTGTTGTTTGTTGTTATGTGTTAGTGAGCTGCAATCCCCTCCTAGCTGATGCCCCGGTGGGTTTTCAGAGGCAGTAACTCACACAGAAGGAGACTGCCTAGCTTTCTCCCATGGAGCAGCTGGTGGATTCAAACCGCCTCTCTTTGAGGTGGCAGCCCAGCTTCTTACCACTAGGCCACCAGAGCTCCTGGTTACAATAACGAAATGGAAAAGGGGAAATAAGGAGTCTCAGAAGTACTGCGGTCCCTGGAGAGTGGTCAGGGGGTGGAGGAAGGTGTACTTCCAGTGGGCACACCCGCTCTGTCTGCTACCTGGGGAACGGCAGCCTCAGCTCAGATCGAGGTCACTGGCTGGGATACACAACTAGGATTCAAAATCCAGGTCATCGGAAACAGCAGCTGCGCCTGGGAGCCCTGCCCTGAGTGAGGGTGGCCCCTGGGGGACGAGAGAGTGAGTGGAGCGAGGGGGGGAAGCATAAACTCAGGGGTGAGTCTGAAAGGTGAGCAGTCCCTGGGGAGGGCTCATGCAAAGCAAGCCCGGCTCAGATGTCACAGAGAAGGACAGAGTTAGGACCCGGAGGACACCTCCCGTCCCCAGGCGTTGGACAGGGGACTGTGGGGAGGAGAGGACCCTTCCAGAAAGGAGGGACAGGTGGAGGGAGGAACCAAAAAGGCTGAGTGAAGAGGTGGTCGGAAGGGCTTCACCTGCCGGCAAAGCAGCTGGAGGGGTGACCGCTGTGGTGACCGCTGTGGTGACCGCTGGAATGTCTGGGGCCTCAGGAGCCCTGGGAGTCACGAGGCTGTGCTGATATTAATGGCCAGCTTGCCGAGCCCCAGCAGCCCCACCTGCTTGGGTAGGACTTTGGCCAGAGTCCTAGAGTCCCCAGGGCAGGATGTCACCTGAGCTCAGGTGTACCTGGCTCCTGGTTTGCCTGCAGCTGCTCTGTGACTCCCCCCTGCTTCCTCCTTGCCGTCACTGACCCTGAGGCCCCAGCACTGTCTTCTGCTGGGACT